ATTTAATAAATGGTGCTGGGAAAACTGGCTAGCCATATGTAGAAAGCTGAAACCAGATCCATTCCTTACACCTTACACAAAAATTAAGATGGATTAAAGACTTATATGTAAGACCTAAGACCATGAAAACCTAGTCAATATCATTCAGGACATAGGCATGGGCAAAGACTTCATGACTAAAACACCTAAAGCAATGACAACAAAAGCCAAAATAGACAAATGGGATCTAATTAAACTAAAGAGTTCTGCACAGCAAAAGAAACTATCAGAGTGAACAGGCAACCAACAGAATGGGAGAAAATTTTCACAATCTATCCATCTGGCAAAGAACTAATATCCAGAATCTACAAAGAACTTAAACAAATTTACAAGAAAAAAACAAGCAACCCCATCGAAAAGTGGGCAAAGGATATGAACAGACACTTCTCGAAAGAAGACATTTATGCAGCCAACAAACACAAGAAAAAATGCTCATCATTACTGGTCATCAGAGAAATACAAATCAAAACCACAAAGAGATACCATCTCACGCCAGTTAGAATGTCAATCATTAAAAAGTTAGGAAACAATACACACTGGAGAGAATATGGAGAAATACGAACACTTTTACCCTGTTGGTGGGAGTGTAAATTAGTTCAACCATTGTGGAAGACAGTGTGGTGATTCCTCAAGGATCTAGAACTAGAAATATCATTTGACCCAGTGATCCCATTACTGGGTAAATACTCAAAGGGTTGTAAATCACGCTACTATAAAGACACATGCACGCATATGTTTATTGTGGCACTCTTCACAATAGCATAGACTTGGATCCAACCCAAATGTCCATCAATGATAGACTGGATTAAGAAAATGTAGCACATATACACCGTGGAATACTATGCAGCCATAAAAAGGATGAGTTCACGTCCTTTGCAGGGACATGGATGAAGCTGGAAAACATCATTCTTAGCAAACTATCACTAGGATGGAAAACCACACACTGCATATTCTCACTCATAGGTAGGAAGTGAACAATAAGAACACTTGGACACAGGGCGGGGAACATCACACACTGGGGCCTGTCAGGGGGTGGGGGTCTGGGGGAGGGAGAGCATTAGGAGGAATGCCTAATATAAATGACAAGTTGATGGGCACAGCAAACCAACATGGCACATGTATACCTATGTAAGAAACCTGAACGTTGTGCACATGTAACCTGGAATTTAAAGTATAAAAAAGAGAAAGAACTTACTGGAAAAAAAAAAAAGTTATGGTTATCTTAGCAGTCACTTACCATTTTCATGAAAAGAAAATTGGAGGTAGGATTACATTTATTTAAAATCTCAACACTGAAAATATTTTAAATTATATTCTAGTAACTAGTAAAAATTGCTCATGCATCCTTAGAGTTTCATCATTCTTCAGTTTTTAGGCCTTAGAGGTGAAATGTGCTCTTTAACAGTGTAATTGCCCTTGTTTTTCTGAAACAGTGAAATTATCTTTTCAAACCTCTTTGAGAAAAGGTATTAATTGTGTTGCAGTTTTGAAAAAAACTTTTTGTTTTGCTTTTACTAGAGAAAAAAATCAAGACACAATTGTTCTTTTGTTTTACACCATTGTGCTCTTGATGGAGACAAAAGATCTAGACAAGAATATATTCTTATTTCTTATCAAATATATAGAAAAAGAATTTATATTTGGATTTTAATAAGATGAGCCCTTTTGTTTATCAGTGGCTCTATAATTAGCTAGAACTTTTAAAACGGTAGTATCTAAGAGGAAGGTCTAGTAAGAAAACTATATTTGAAAATTGATAATGTAACACCATACGTTTCCATATGTTTTAACTTTATTTATGTTCCAGATTTCTGTATGATCATTGCTTATGTATAGAAAATGGGAAGGAAAGTTCTCTTCCCTAAGGGAGTGATTACCCTAGAGAGTCTTCATTTTCCTTTGTGTCTACCTGACACTTGAATAACATAATGAAAACTGGCAAGAAGAAAAATTTGTAAAAATTCTGTAATTGTGGACACTCATAACCATGTATACATAATCTAAGCCTGTAAATTAAAATAATTAGTACTCACATTGGATATAGACAAAACGGATGTAAATTGAGAATATCGCTAATTTTCAATATTATAGAAAAGAAAGTCAAATAAATTCTAATTTGTTTCTATATTTAGTATAATCAGGATTTTCCACCACTTCCACCGAGACTGTGGTACAGCACCCGAAGCTTCCTACCCAGCCCAGTCCTGGCCGGGCAGGCCCCGCAGCGCTCCAACTCCCTCTTCCCGGCCCCCGGACTTGCTGCTGCTGCCACCACTAGCGTGGATGTCACTGCTGCTGTTGCCCTCAATGCACTGGCCCACCCTGCAAAGCTCCTACTACCTGGCCACACCGCAGCCCTGCCCCTGCCATGGCCGCAGCTGGCCGTCCTCTTACCGCTCTGGCCCGCTGCAGTCTCCGTAGCTGCCACCAACCGCAGCCAGCCGAGCGGCAGCCCCAGGCCATCTGCAAGTTGCCAGCATGGAACTCCTCCTCCTCCTGACATGGAACAGCTGGGCAGGCAAAGCCAAAAAAGCCTAGAGGAGCACGCAAAGTGATAGCATTAGAGCCTCACCTTATCATCCTGGCCACTGGGTGGCCGGGGCTGGTCTCAGTGAAGGCACTCACATCCACCCTCCGAAGTCCCGCCTCTCCTTTTGGCCCAAGCGGACCAGGAACTGGGGCGTGGAGTGGAGACGGGTAACACCACATTGCCTGGCTCCAATCCACAGGAACCGCTGGGCGCACCAGGGCTGCGCTCCTTGGGGAGCAGAACCAGCAGGAACTCAGACCCAGCCAGCCCTCCCACCCAAGCGCCGGTTCCCGATCCTGATGCCTCCACCCACAGAGCCCTGTCCTCCCGTGGTGTTCGCTACTCAGTGTCTGTCGTGCCTACGGGTCCCAGGTGGTCTCCGCAACACAGAGAGAAATGTCGTGGCCCTGGAACCACACCGGGCGTTGGGGCCTATGCCCTGCTCAGGATTCCTGCGGAAACGCTGCGCGCTTGCTGCACTGGAGCAGGAGCAGGAGGAGATCGCCCTCTAGAGTCTGGAGTCCAGTGAGAGGAGGAAAGCTCCTTCCTTGGAGACCACTGCTGTTGCTGCAACCTCTGCCGCCACTGGCAGGGCAGCCCCAGATAGCGTCCCTAACCCGCTGCCTGCTGTTGGCCCTTGGACAGTGCCCCTAACACCGCCCCTCGCCGCTGCGGTGTAGAACCCAATAGCGCCCCCAACCCGCCCCTACCTCCGATATCGCAGCACCAGAACACTTCCCCATCCTACCCCCTGCCGTGGGCCATGCAGCCACTGAGAGGACCCCTAACCCACTGCAGGCAGTCACGCCCCAGGCAGAGCACAGCAACCTGCTCCCCGCCGTGAATAGTGCAGCCACGGATCCTTGAGGTCCGCAACCCCCTCCCCACGACGTGTAGTGCAGCCCCACATAGCAGACAGCACCCCCCAACTATCCCGCAGCCACGGGGAATGATGCCCTGGATGGCGCACCCAACCCGCATCCCTTCGTGGGCAGTGTAGCCCCCGTCAGCGCCCCTAAGCGGTATGCCGCTGCCAGAAATATCGTCCCGGATAGCGCACCAAACCCGGCCCCCACCACAAACAGTGCAGCAGCTGATAGAGCCCCTAACTCGCCCCCACTGACCGCAGAGCAGCCCCCGAACGGTGCCCACAACCCACCCTACCACCCCGCCTGCCACCGGCCAGGTATCGTCCCCAAACTGCCCCTTGCTGCGGGGAGTTTATCTCCCAATAGCACACCCAACCCACCCTCTATCATGGACAGTGTGGCCCCGATAGCGCCTGAAACCACACCCTCCAAGCACCTACCTGCACCCCTCACTCCCCTGCCCCACCACCAGCAGTGTAGCACCAGATACTGCCTCTAAACTATCCCCCTGCCACGGGCATTGCAACCCCACATGGTGCCCCCAACAAGCCCCCCGCCATGGGCAGAGCAGCCCCGGAGGGCATCCCCACTCCTCTGTGGGCAATGAAGCCCGAGTAGTCAGGACCCCGACCAGTCCTCCCACCCCGACGCCGCAGGCACAGTAACCACAATAGCGGCCCCAACCCGGCCCCTGTCAGGGGCAGTGCAGCACCCAACAGCGCCCCCAACCAGCCCTACCGCTGCCAGCAATACAGCCAAGATAGTGACTCCAATCCACCCCTCCACACCGCCACCCCGCCCACACCCCCACTACGTCCCCCTGCTGCTGAGAGCAGTGCAGTCCTGACAGCACACCTGAAACTAGTGACGCCCGGAATAACACTCTAGCACGCCAAAATAGTGACATTCCAATAACACCTCAACCAGTCCCCGCTGCGGGCAGCCCCGGACAGCGCACCTACCCCATCGCCTTTCTACCCTCCGGCCAGCTGCAGTGTCCATCGCTGCCACCAACCACAGTGAGGCGACCCAGTGAGGTGAGGGCCAGCGAGGCCAGCCGCAATCCCACAGGCTCTAGCCTCCAGCCTGTGGTAGGTGCCTCCTCCTCCTTCCCTTCCTGTAGCCAGGCATGCAGCAGCTCTCACCACCAGCTGCCTCTCTCCATTACCGCCACACACCAAGCAGAGGCAAGCCCCGGCGCCACAGGTTTCAGCTTTCAGTGTGGGGGGCAGAACCGGTTTCTGCCTGCTCTAAACTGCGGGTCATGGAAATACACGGACTAACACAGCAGAACCCACAATGACGTGATTCCCATTAGTGTGCCTTATATACTGAGGTTGTGCATGCCAGGTTCCTGGACTTCATGTTCTGATTGGATGAGAGAAAACTGCTGTGCCTACTCTGATTGGACGTTATTTTCATGTTCTGATTGGATGAGAGCAAGTCTTAGACTAACCAATCAGAATGTGAAAATAAAGTCCAATCAGAGTAGGCCTAGCCTTTTCCTCTCATCCAATCAGAACATGTAGTTTATAATCCGGTATATAATGAATGTTAAGTGGGCGAGTCTCCCTATTCCAGCCTTGTTTGTGTCTGACTTCGTAGCTGCTCGGTTCCCAGTTTGGAGTAGGAGGTGCTGGCTGCTGCAGGTTGGAGGCTGGAGCCTGTGGGGCTGTAGCTGTCCTCGCAGACTCGTCTCGCCGGCTTGCTTTTGTCGCTGCAGTTGGTGGCAGCCGCGGACACTGCAGCTGGCCAGAGCATAGAAAGGCGTCAGAGTAAGTGCGCTATCCAGGGCTGCACTGCCCGTGGCCTGGGACGGTTTGGGGCCCTATCTCAGGTGTCACTGCCCGCCTTGAGTGGCTAGTTGGGTGTGCTATCTGGGGCTGTGCTGCCAGATAGGTTACAACCATTATTGCTTCTGTGCAGTGATAGATTAATCCAATGTGATGTAAGGAGTTCAGTGGTGTGTTTGGAATTTTGTATATGGTTGGTGTTGAGCTTGAAGGCTTTCTTAATTGATAGCTGCTTTTGGGCCAACTATGGAGATTAGGTTTTTTACTCTGTATACAAGGTTTTTTCCTAATGTCTGAAGAGCTGTCCCTCTTTAGACTAGCAATTAAGTTTACAGGGGATTGAGTAGTTCTGTAGGTAAACTTAAGGTTGAACTAAGATTCTGTCTTGGATAACCAGCTATCACCAGGCTCGGTAGGCTTGTCACCTCTATCCATAAATATTCCCACTATTTTGCTGCAAGAGGGGTGCGCTGTTACGACTTCTCTCCTCTGTATAAATATTGGGGTGTTTAGTTAAGTTTGTCCTTAAATATACTTGAGGAGAGTGACGGGCGGTGTGTGCGTGCTTTATGGCCTGGTTCAATTAAGCACTCTGTTCTTAATTGACTGCTAAATCCTCTTTGGACTCTTAGGTTTCTTAAGAGTTATCATGGGGTTTTCTGGAGTAGAAAATGTAGCCCATTTTTTTGCCATCTCATAGGCTACACCTTGACCTAACGTTTTTGCGGGGACGGTTATGCTAACTTTGTGGCCTTATCAGGGTTTGCTGAAGATGGTGGTATATAGGCTGAGCAAGAGATGGTGAGGTGGATTGGGGTTTATCGATTATGGAACAGGCTCCTCTAGAGGGATGTGAAACACCGCCAAGTCCTTTGAGTTTCAAGCTGTTGCTTGTAGTATTCTGGCGAGTAGTTTTGTTATTTTAATTATTGAGGTTTAGGGCTAAGCATAGTGAGTCTCTAATCCCAGTTTGAGTCTTAGCTATTGTGTGTTCAGAAATTTTAAAGCCACTTTCGTAGTTTATTTTACATCAGCTAAGGTTTTACAATTTAGATGGAGTTTAGCTTTATTCGATTACATCTTAAACTCCCTTTATGCCGGTCTCTATTAGCTTGGGTTAATCGTATGGCCGCGGTGGCTGGCACGAAATTAACCAACCCTAATTGTAGCATAGCTTAGTTAAACTTTCGTTGATTGCTAAAGGTTTGTCACTGCTGTCTCCCATGGGGGTGTGGCTGAGCAAAGTGTTTTGAGCTGCATTGTGTGTGCTTGATACTCCATATGATCGTTGTGATTTATAGGGTGTCCTCACTGGGGCGGGGATGCTTGCGTGTGTAATCTTGCTAAGAGTTAATAGAAAAGCTAGGACCGGCCGGGCGCGGTGGCTCAAGCCTGTAATCCCAGCACTTTGGGAGGCCGAGACGGGCGGATCACAAGGTCAGGAGATCGAGACCAGCCTGGCTAATACGGTGAAACCCCGTCTCTACTAAAAAAATACAAAAAAAACTAGCCGGGTGAGGTGGCGGGCACCTGTAGTCCCAGCTACTCGGGAGGCTGAGGCAGGAGAATGGCGTAGACCCGGGAGGCGGAGCTTGCAGTGAGCTGAGATGCGGCCACTGCACTCCAGCCTGGGCGACAGAGCGACACTCCGTCTCAAAAAAAAAAAAAAAAAAAAAAAGAAAAGCTAGGACCATACCTATTTGTTAACGGGGTATGTAAGTCCGTCTAGACATTTTCAGTGTCTTGCCTTAGGTGGCTTAAGCTACGTAAACAGGAAAAAAGTATAGTTGTGAGGTTTTGTCTTTGGGGTTGTGGTATAAGGATACAGATTTAGTAGTGAGTAAATGCGTGGTAACGAGAAAGCAGGGAGAAGATGGAAATTGGTGTTAAGAGTGGTAAGGTGAAGTAATTTTATATTAGTTGAGGGAATAGCAGTTGAAGTTGTGCATAGCTAAAAGATGAGAACGTAAGCTCTGGCTGGGCGGATGAAGGCTTTTGTTTTCGGGGTTTGGCAAAAGCCAGTTTTTAAGGGGAGAAGTCAGAGATGGGGGGGGTTGTTAAAAGTTTCTTGTGTTTTTGTAGTGTAATTAGGAATGGGCTGTAAAACAGTTACTAATATGTCTTACAAGCATGAATTAAATAACACCTTGTAGGAATCATGTGGGGCTAGGATATTGAACGCAGGTGCGATCGATAATGGCATGAACTAGGAATCAAAGACAGGCGCTGTGGGACGTGTTGTGGCCGGACCGGCTTTCTGCGATGGGGTCGCGTGCAGACCAGAGATAAAAGATACCAAATGTATGGAGAGCTCCGGTGACTGGTTAATAGGGTGATAGACCCGTGATCCATCGAGATGTCTTGTTTAAGGGGAATGTGTGGGCGATCTTGATTGTATGGCCCTGAGGTAAGAACCAGATGCCGGATACAGTTCATTATAGCTACCCCCACGGTTTATGGGCCCGGAGCGAGGAGAGTAGCACTATTGTGCGGGATATTGATTTCAGGGAGGATGGTGACCAAGGGACCCCTAAGTGAGGGAGGTATCCGTAGTGACGAGGATTTATTTAATCGGATGTGCTATGTCCGGCAAATGATGTGATGTACTATGTACGGTAAGTGAATAATTAGTTTGGTTGGTATTCGGGGTGGGGACATTTGGACTTTGAGGCTTAATGGAATGTGTTACAGTTGATTAATTTATGAGAATACTTGCTTGTAAGCATGTTGGGGACTGTTGTTAGTAAATATGTAATGATATGTGCTAGGTACAGTTAATCATATATAGTACTATATAATATTCATGTTGGCTAGCAGTAATGCACGATTTACATAAAAGTGTATGAAAATAATTTAATACTGAAGTTGCATTTAAAGTTTGCACACCATAGAATACAGAAAGTAGTTCAAATTAGAATGCCAGTTTTGGGTGTTGGTGGTGAAGTTAAGTACTTTCTTTCTGAGTTGCCCTAGGGGAAGTTTTCCATTTCCAGTTTACAAGACTGGTGTACTGATCTGTACTACGAGGGCAGGTTCACTTGAGTAAGTTGTTTTCGGTTAGAGAGGCAAGTGGTATTAAGACTCAAATTGTGATAAAGTATATTACGGATGCTACTTGTCCGATAATCATAAAGGGCTGGTTTACTGGTTGGCTTCCGATTCAGGTGAGAGGTAGTAGAATTGTGGTTAGGAGTCAAAATAGGGATTGGCTGAGTGGGCGGAATGCTATACTTTGTTGTTTAGATTTGTGGAGAATGGGTATGATTGCTAAGATAAGGATTGATAGGAGAAGTGGCAACACTCCTCCTAATTTATTGGGAATAGATCGTAAAATTGCATATGCGAATAGGAAATAGAACTCTGGTTTAATGTGTAGAGGAGTGTTTAGGGGGTTGGCTGGGATATAGTTATCTGGGTCGCTTAGAAGGTCAGGTGAGAATAGTACTAATGTTATTAAGGCTATAAAGAGGAGGATTAGGCCTAAGATATCTTTGATTGTGTAGTAGGGATGGAAAATAATTTTGTCGGAGTGGGAGGAAATTCCGCAGGGGTTATTTGATCCTGTCTTGTGTAGGAATAATAGGTGCAGGGTTGTAAAGGCTGTGATAATAGAGGGTAGGATAAAGTGAAGGGTGAAGAATCGTGTAAGAGTAGGGTTCTCAGTGGAATACCCGCCTGAAACTCATTGGACGAGGTTGGTTCCGATGTATGGAACTGCTGATAGTAGGTTTGTAATTACAGTCGCACCTCAGAATGATATTTGGCCTCATGGGAGTACGTAGCCCATGAAGGCTGTTGCTATGGTTATGAGTAGAAGTGCAATGCCAATGTTTCAGGTTTCTATAAGAAAATAGGAGCCATAATAGAGGCCTCGACCTACATGTAGAAAGAGACAGATGAATAATATAGAGGCACGGTTAGCGTGGAGATAGCGAAGGATTCAGCCGTAGTTACGTCTCGGACGATGTGTGCGACTGAGGAGAAGGTGGAGGAAGTGTCTGGTGAATAGTGTATTGCTAGGAATAAGCCTGTAATAATTTGTAGAATTAGGCAGGTTGCAAGAAGTGAGCCGAAGTTTCATCATATGGAAATGTTGGATGGGGTGGGTAAATCAATAAAGGTGTAGTTAATTATTTTTAAAATCGGGTTAGATTTGCGTGTTGGGATCATTGGTGTTTTTGTAGTTGAAGTACAACGATGGTTTTTCATATCATTGGTCATGGTTGGAGTCCATGTAAGAACAATGGCATATATTTTATTTTTATTAAGTGTATTATTAGTCATGGGGTTTATGGGGTTTTCTTCTAAACCACCTCCTATTTATGGAGGGTTAGCATTGATTGTTAGTGGTATGGTTGGTTGTGTAATTATTTTGAATTATGGGGGGACTTATATGGGTTTAATGATGTTTTTAATTTATTTGGGAGGCATAATAGTTGTTTTTGGTTATACTATAGCGATGGCTATTGAGGAATACCCTGAAGCATGGGGGTCAGGGTTTGAGGTTTTTGGAAGCTTTCTGATAGGGTTGGCGATGGAGGTGGGTTTAGTTTTATGAGTTTTAGATTTTGATGGGTTGGTAGTGGTGGTTAATTTTGATAATATAGGGAATTGGGTAGTTTTTGAGGGGGAGAGATCAGGGTTAGTTCGAGAAGATTCTATTGGTGCAGGTGCTTTATATGATTATGGGCGTTGATTAGTAATGGTTACTGGTTGAACGTTATTTGTTGGTGTATATATTATTATTGAGATTACTCGTGGTAATAGATTATGTTATTAGGAATGGAGTTAGAATAAGGGGAATAAGGAAAGAGAGGGAGTAAAACTTGATTATACCTCTCTGAGTGGTTGTGATGGTGGAGGTAATAGTGTGGATATGTGAAATTGTTTTGGGCATAGATTTTTCTAGTCAGATTGAGTCCAGTAAGAGGGAAGATAGGTTTCGGCTTATAAGTAGATTTTGGTAGGAGGTCATACGGTGG